AGGTAGGAGGAGCCCGAGCAAGGGAATTTGGCACAACAATTTCGCACACCCACCGCCAAGCAAGAAGATACAGTATCCGCTGATCCGTGCCCTCGTCCGGTCTTCGGCTCCTTCGTCCCGAATTTCCGGCATTACTCTTCAGAAGAATGAAATCTTGAATTTGAAGGCGTTGGAATGACTGTAAACTTTTCACGTCTTGAATGTTCCTGTAGTGAGCAGAGAGACTCCTGTGAAAATGAATGAGGTCAGTGAAGCTCGCCCCCTCGCCCGCCCCCCTCCCCTGTCCCCGCATCTCCCCACCACGTGGGGACAATAATGAACACAGCATTAATGCAAATTAGTGCAGTAGAAATGAAAGCTAGAGCACATTCCGTTAGGGAGAATAAGGCAAAATGCTTCGCAACTTGGGGGAATTGGAGCTCAGCATTTCCATTTAATTCAGGTTGTCCAATTAAATAATTCGAGCTATTTTTTTTTACGTACTTAGTTTTTGCTTAATGGAGGGTTGCGGTGTATTCGTATTGTCTGTCGCCTTTTCGCGTTCAGTTTCGATTGTTCTGGCAGGAGACCTGTTTTCATGAATACTTTTGGGCGGAACGGAAACTGTGCGATACTAAATAACGAAGTCCTCAAAACCATTAATGGTGGGCTTTCTTCGATGGGTATATCGCCAGGTCAACAATATTACTGCTTGGGGGGGGGGGGGGGGGGAAGCTTCACGTTAAGTTGCTCCGCAAAACCCTTGACAATTTTTTTTACAAGGCCTCCCAAATAGGATGAGCATTAATTCTCCCATTCCTGTTGCCCTAACAACTCACTACTGCTGTGATCATGATGATTCCGATATGCAGCATGAGGGGGGGTAATTCACCTCATCCAGTTCCGATAGAATGAGTTTCACTGTATGTCCTTTGTAGAAAAAATGAGGATCTTGGACAGTTCTATACAGGATTCGATATGAAGGTTGGTACTAAGTACTGAAAGCATTTCAACTAAATTTCCCATTTCAACTAAATTTCCCAAAGCCTAGGGCATATCCTGTGGCTTGAGAATCCGAAATAAACTAATTTCCTGACCTGACTCAAAATCCGTCTGTATTGCATTCAGGTTCGGAGGGAAGGCGTGACCTTAAGGGACTCCATGGCCCGTGCGCTTAGCAGGCTTCGCGTAAGTGTCTCCTTGGCTCATTCCAAGGTTATGTCGCATTGACGTGGTCTTCATTTCAGCCTAATGAGAACACTCCGACCTCTCAAAAGAGGTCTCTGAACAGACATTACCTGCCTGCTAAAATTACTTTTCTCATCGAATTTATTCCACAGAAAAGTAGCTGACCAGACCAGGTGACACTTTCGCGCAACCTTTTCATGTAACGGCATTAGCATGGGTCAGCCAAGGCTCGGCCAAAGTAAACACCCTGAAAATGATTTTCCACACAAGACTCTTCCGGAAAATCTTCATGCTGTGCTTTCTGGCGCATTTTTAGGATTCAGTACTCCAATCCAAGAACAGCACTAACCGAAATTCAGCGATAACTGTGTGAAAGTACGCATTACATTTTGCAATCAGTTCGTTTCTCGAGAAAAGAGCATTACATTCTTCTCCACAATAAGCTCTATTCTGGCAATTTTCAGCTTGTCTTTTAAGTTTGTAGACATACAGGACGATACTTACTCGTTGCCTTCTGTCGTTCGTTTCCATTAGCCTTGTTGGCAGCAGAACAAACAGAAAAAACTGTTTTGAGCAACACTCTGCAATGGCAATACTTTTTTTTTTACCATGAACCTGCCAGGAAAATCTTTCACTCTCAATCTATTAATAATCATTCAACCGAACTTCAACAAAGAAGAGAGGAAAATGAGTGCTACGCATCACAGTAATGAGTCCAATGCTGCTCCACATGCCAGTGTCGCACTTGACACGGCTCAGTTCAGGAGGGGATATTTTCAGATCAAAGGGGTTAAAGATATCTGATGAGATCTTTGAGAAAACAGCTCTTGCTTTGCTGCAAGAGCTCTTCATGGATATTAATCATGTTTCTGGCATGGACACAGTTCAGGTTGTTGTGCCAGGTTCAAGAAGCATGACACATAACTTACACCATATATGTACATTAACTCAAGCTATTGACACTAATTTATGTCCATGAAACTGTAGCAGATGATCAATGCATAATCAAAACATCAACATATCTGACGATCATTGAAAAATCACACAAAGGCCAGCAGACGATGAAGATAAAGTCCCGATTTTATTTACCAAAAAAAAAAAGAAGGAATGAAGCAACCATACACAAGGCCACACACCTCATTCATGAACATGATGCATTCTTCAGTTTCTAATTCTTCTTCTCACCTTGCTTCTTTCTTCTTTAGTTTTCTCCCAAGTTTGGCCCCCATCTGATTTTCCACCAGGGACGCTGGGGGATCACAGCTGAGAAATCCGAATTAAATCATCACCAGGAAGAAAAAAAAAGAAAAAACAAAATGGTTTTTACACTGCATCATTCACTCGCCACTTCCTGTGTCCACTTTCAGTGAATCACACTGAAAATGCCATCACTGGAAAAACAAAAACTATGGAGGCGGGATAAGAATGCGTTGGACCGACAGAATGATGAGAGATGTCATGAGATGGACGTTTGATGGAACCAAGGAGAGATAGGGACAGATACAGGAGAAAGGATGAAAAGAAGTTCGTCTGATGGTTGCTTGATGAATGAGGTGATAAACAGATGATCATACGTCTCTCCAGGATTCCTTCCATGCTTTTCAGCCTTATAGCTGCACATCATTGCTTTCTCTTAGTTGGGACAGATGGAGCACGTGGGGGGGTCACTGGCCTTCCCCCACTCATCATCCCACTGTATTGATATTTGGCTTTCTTCTCTGATGGCTTCAAGATCTATTAAAAGGAGAGTAAAATTAGGTTTTCCAGTTAAAGTAAAACACATATTTAAAGGAGGATATTACAGGAGATGTAATCAAGGGCGATAACTTGGGCACAACTTACTTGGAAGGAGCACATGAGAGTCTCATCAACAGACATCATGCCTCCAGCATTGTCAAACTCTCCGCAATAATTCGGAGCAGAGAAGAGCGTGACCAACTGACGCTTGGCAAAGAACTCATATCCATCTTCAACCACCTATGAAGATCAGACCATGTGAATACAAATCTCATTGAAATCAGGAGAAAGCATGAAGCTGAATGAGGAGGTGAGACGCACCTGATGGGCTCGGCAGATGAGATCTAGATCATGTCTATTGAGGAACTTGCTCACCACATCAGCGCCAAATGTGAAGGACACTCCTCTATCATTCTCTCCCCACCCTTGGACATCTTTGTCAGGGTCCGACCAGAGGAGATCACACAAAAGGCCTGGAACATAAAGCCCCTTGTTATCATTCAGGAACCACCAATTAATCAAATTTTTAATACCTCTGGACCATTCAAGTAAAAAGATAGATGTTCTGCATGGCCAGTTTTGGCACAGATTCGCAAATGTCCTATGAGAGAACACATGATCAGAATTTTCAGATGCATTAGCTTTTAGATCTAACCTGTATCAGGAACATCAGTGGGCCTCATGATACGACGGATTTGCTCCATGGACTGGAGATCAGGGCTGAGCCCTCCGTGGCAGCAGAAGATCTTCTCATCTATGATGGCTGCAATCGGGAGACAGTTGAAACAGTCTGTGAATGTCTTCCAGAGCTTAATGTTGTACCTTCTCTTGCCTGTAGAATCATATTAGCTTCATAGTAATCATCAGTTGTGCAGAGGGTCCAACATGGGAGGGCTTACAATTAAAACTCACATTCATCGTAAAAACCATATATCCTGTTGATGCTGGCACATTCGTGGTTACCTCTAAGGAGAAAAAAATTCTCTGGATACTTGATCTTATAAGCCAAGAGCAGACAGATGGTTTCCAGTGACTGCTTCCCCCGATCCACATAATCACCAAGGAAAAGATAATTTGCCTCAGGGGGGAAACCTCCATACTCAAAAAGTCGAAGCAAGTCCGTGTACTGGCCGTGAATGTCACCTGTGAAAATGAGCAAGATAGAGAATAATAGTTACAAGGGCATGACTGTTTGGTCACTATAATTTGTGACCTATAACATTTGCCATCTCATTGTAGCACTAACCACTAAAGGCATCTTCTGCCTTGAAATTGTGTGTGTAAGTATAAGAATGAAATAAACATAAAAATACATGATAAGTTCTTTTGAGTACAGGTTTTGAGGTCAAGAATGCTCAACTTTTGAAATGAATGTAAAATCATTGATCCACAATAGGCTGCTCCAAGAATAAACCCAAAACCTTTCATCATTCAGATTCCCTAAGAAACTTCAGGAATAAAACTTCCTCCTGATATGCCATCGTACTCAGCTTCTACTAATCAAAAGCAAAGCATGAAACCTCAAACCTTCAAAAAAGCTCCTCTTGTTACCCAAAGGGTCTCACATATGAAAAGGCATGATTGGAAGCAGGTCTCATCTTGAGGATACCCAGAGAAAACTCAAATGATATCTCTGAATTTTTCTTTGAGAGATGCTGCAATGTCAGGAAGCTGCCAAAATTAGCATAAGCTCCCTCTATGTGATACAAAGGCAAGTCAAAAGCTTCAGTAAGTGAGTCTGGATGGCAGGATGCTAATAATGCTACCTTGAAATGACTGAATACCCTTCTGTGCAAATGAAAAAGGGATGATTGAAGTATTTGTATGATTGTGAGCAATATACATGCTGGGAAAGGTTCAGGCACTCCTTAAGTCATGTCTTGAGGTGGAAAATTTTCCTTAAATAAGGTGATGAAGTACATGTGAGATACACTGTGATAACACTCTTTTGTTTGCACTTCCTTGAAGAAAGTTCATTGAAGAAGGAGAAAGGTGAATGGGAGAGAGATCACAATTGAGAAGGCAGGGAATTTGGGTGTTCAGGGGAATAATGGGACTTAGTCCAGTTAAACTTTTCTGAATGTAAAAAGCCTGGTTAATCACTTAACTGCTACCATATAAGTAATAAGGCTTTCACTGTTTTAAAGCTCTCAAATTTGACAAGAAATGGGTTAATAAATATGTATCTCATTCCTTCCTAAGTATAGTAATACCCTATATTGTTAATATATGAATAAATTTGGTTCTTTCCAAAGCCCCAGGAATTCAATGAATATGTTTTCCTCTTACCAATACTTCTAATATACATTAGAAGCAACATTATTACCATATAAATGACATAGGGAAACAGGAAAAAGTCAGGTGGCATGCCTAATGCAAGGTCACATCCATATCTGCATGTGCTACTTTCATTTTTCCTTGCATGGGGACATGTGCATCATCACTGTGAAAATCTACTTTTGCCTGATGGTGTAGATCAGTGGTTCTTACACTTTCTTGGCTGCAACCCAAATGCTAGCTTGGCATGGTTATTATGAACTTAGAATCCAGACTGCCATTTTCTAGCATTTAACAGAATGATTGGAGGAAAGGCATGTTTGGGTAGCACAAGTGACCTAGACTATAAAGGAAAGTTCAGACAGTCACTGGAGACCCTTGGTGACCCACTCAAAATGGCTTGGCCCAAATTGGGTTGCGACCCAGAGGTTAAGAACCACTGGAAGCAGATGATGAAATATTGGTAGCTGGTTCCAATCGATGCCAATCCATAATTACAGTCATAAAACTTAGACGTTTTTATACTTTTGGTACCCATAAGAAAGAAATGAAAAAAAAAACCAGGACAACACATAATGGGTAAAAGATGTAATGAGCTAATTTCCAACATAAAATTAAGACTAAAGGTTCAGATGACAAGATGTACCATGGGGAATTCCAGTGTCCCAATGCTTGTCAAGAAAAATAAAAAGTTGGGAAATTTATTTTTCAAATTAATAGAATTACATCAATAGTGAAATTTCAGCTCAAAACACTACTTTTATTAAATGGCATCTAAAAGGCTTGGCAGGCAACCAGATTCCCATAAAATCTACGATCCCAAACATTTAGGGAATCTGGATGGATATATCAATGCACATTCATTCAATTTGAGTTTGATGTATAACCTACCACATATTTTCAGAGGGGCTTCCAACTCCAACAGAATTGGCTGCTGTAAGAAGATTTCCCTTGACTTGAGGCAGAGTCCTCTTACCTCTGCCTCTGTCATCTGCACTGTCTTCCCTGGACGGCATCCTCGGACTGTGCACAAACATAAAATTAAGCAGCATTCTAGAATGACAATCACATATCATAGCAAAAAGTTCCACTTCTATAGATAATCCTAAAACCAAAAGGAATTCAATGATGACGTTCACCTTAGTTGAAATATTTGTGCGATGGATATTTAAATCTATGGAAAGGTTTTGAAAACCCATCACTTCACTATTTCCTATATTATACCTAATTAAACTGTACTTTAAAAATTATAACCTACATAGTAAAAATGGCAGGTACAATGAAAGTTTGTTGACAGAAGCCAACACAATTTATATTAATGTCAAGATCAGCCAAGAAGTCTTGGCATGATCACCGGTCCACTACTCTTTCCTTGTGATAATTATGAGCCTTTATATCAAACGCATTGTAATTACAACAACCACTTCCCACTCCTTTGAAAGAATGGCCTGGCAGCCCTATGCCTCAAACTTAGATGCCAATGTAGAATGTGTGGGTTCGATACCTGCATTACCTAACTTCACTAGGCACACACCAAAGCTGCCCTGCATCTGTTAGATGCACAGCAGTGTCGTATTAGATTAAAGGGTGATTATAAGACAACCTCACTTATGAAAATTAGCTGATCAGCATAGTTCATGTACAGATCCAGCATTCCACCACCCATACTTTTACTTCTTGCGAAACATGCTAGCAAGGACTTGTCTAAAATAAAGCAGATTGGGTAAATCAAACCTAACGTTAGCTGCGTGGATTCGTGCAGTTAATGAGTATTCAGGAGTCAGGAGTCAGGAGAGTTAGTGATATCAAGAGGCGATTTCGCCCATTTCGATATCACGTGTCGAGGTCGCGCGTTCCTTAATTTTAGGGTAGGCCTAACCCTCTTAAAGCTAAATATTTTTGGAGTAAAGTATTTTCATCGGTTACATCATCACTGAACTAATAGAAAGGTGTTCCTATTATGTGGTGCGTACAAAAAAAATTAAAGTGTTATAGGCGTACACGTCTTCAGCTCCAAGAATAACAATTTTTTTGTTCTAACGTTAACGTTAATTTGAATAGAGGCGTACATGAACAAAATCATAAATAAAAGATTACATGCCATAAAGCTTAAACGGACTTCCCCATGTGTTGGTGTTGAAGTTAACTCGAAATGCGTCGAGCTTAAATGCGAAAAAATCCTCTGAAATGACGTACCTTCCAGAAGCCGCTGAATGAGGCTATCGACGTTCAGCTCTGAGTCAGCCATCTTCACTCCAGCAAAGGACTCTGACGTCATCATCACAGGCAAAAGGCTGCGTGTCAAGTGGCCGCGGTTGCTTCTCACTCCAAGACGAAATCTCCATCTGGTAGGAAATGCGTCAAGTTTCGAAAAATAGGTAATAAATTCGTTCAATAAGAGATTTCATTTCTTATGCTGGAGGAGAACATTCGACTGAGCAAATGGTTATACTCTCATCCGTCTTTAAAAATTTGACATCATTGCTCCCTGCTGACGTTTTCATGATGGCTCGCACCTGCTCAATGTAAGCCCCTTGTAGCTACTTCCATCAGTGAAGCCAAACCGGCTTCGTCATCGTTACGACGATCTTTTGTTATCGAATACTCCAGAAGATTCGCGAATGTTCGTACGTCTGACAATGCATTCTCACTCTTACGTCATGGAATTGGGTCGTATAAGTACTCTAACCTTTAGTCTAGCTGCTCTTTATCCATATTGAAAGGAAGCTCTTTCAGGTGGAAGCATGGATTTTCACGCTCAAGGGTCCCTAATGGTAAGCTTGTTTTCGATATTTGTTGTAAACTCAGATCGACGTCGTATCCTCATACAGACCTTTCTGTAGTTATTCCTAACTCCATGGGCTCGATCGATGTGTGTGATGTGAAGTTTATCAAAAAGTTATGTTTACGAAGAGATTTAAAATTCTTTGTGTTCAGTTACCATATGCCAGGCCTAAGTTCAGGCCTACACCTGTCAGGTAAGGACGAGGAATGTTCTACTGGATTGGCCTAACCTATTTGTTATGATAGATGGATTATTGTGAGACACTTTTAGGCACACATTTTCTTTTGCTGTTTGTGCTTGTTGAGTGCTACAACAACCTCTTGGCTCCACATTTAGGCCTGGATCATTGGGGTCCTCCTTCATTCCTTCCCTCCTCTGTTGCATCATATTCTTCAGATAACATTGTCTAGCCATGTTACTTGTCATTCATTGTATTGCTCCAGAAGCAGCACATTCACAATAATTCCACTTATTTGAAAACAAGCTTAAAATATCTCCAATTAGAACCCGTTCCATCCACAATTATACCATATCCAGTGCATTGCATCCCAAGGCTTTATCTACATACTGTTCATCTCATCACCATTTGAAGAAACTTCAATTTGAAACAAGTATATGTCCTATAAGCAAAGTTAGAAAAGTATGAATGGTGTTACATTGCAGTAGTCCACTCAAATCATATTACCTTTGGGCACCTTCAGGTCAAATTCTGCCTGTCTCCCTACTCTTTGCATGAAAACACAATTGAACGTGAAAGGAGAAAAATATCCTCCATATGTACACACTTTTTGGTGGCTGGATATTGAGACTTTCTGGAGAGGACATTCATCCACATGAATACTTCCCCAATGCTATTCTTTGCTTGGAGCAATGGTATGCTCATGCCTAAAGAATTATATTGTATAATTAGCCTGCTGTTATTGACTTCATCCTGAAACTACACTCATTCATGGTTTTATAATTGGGGTATTCAAGTACATTAGTATCATCTCTTTACCTGGGTGTTTTGAGTGATCACATCAACTTCTTTTCTTCAATATCATCATGCCATGAGCACTTTGAAGTATCAGCATATGTTCCCATAGCCAAATAACTCAAATATGGGTTTTGGTTGCATTCGTACCAGGTATTCATTGGCATTGAGATTTCATTTTGGAGGGAAAGATAAGTGTTTATCGTTATTTTCACAAATTGCCCTTAACCTCACTACCTATGACAGTAACATATACCCTTGGGGACCAACTCATGCCACTAAGAGTGCATCTCCAACCATATACTTGCTTTTTCAAGGGTCATGGAGATGAGTGTTAGGCAGGACAGGTCTGATGTATTCTTTCACTCCTGGTGTTGTCAGATCTAGCTGGCCCTTCATTAATGAGGGGGCTTGATGAGAAATGGGGAGCAACAATCAAGTTTGCACTGGTTGTGAAGCAGATGTGGCCTTAGCCATGGCAAAAGTGGAAGAATTTAAACTGAATTAAGGCTTCCCTAGGGGAGGAGTACAGATCACAAAAATAGATTGTGTCATACACCCCTGGATATTCCTTCCTGTGATCATTAATCAATCAGTTGGCAGTCAACTTTGCTTTACCTGGCATACCACTTGACAGGTTAATTGCTTCCTTCGCATATCATTTTTTAACCCCTGGGTTGAGAGAATGCACCATATGTGCTAATCCATGATACACCAATTAATATGCCCTATGATGACAAGACTGGCCATGAGTGGTAAGGTGAAACTTGCAGAGGTGAGGGGAGGGGCAAGAACATCCATATAATTATGAGGCAGGTTTCATGGCAATGTGTCCTTTCTTTTACCCATTCCCTCTCCATGTACTGCTTAAAAATCTTTCTTCTAACACTGAAACTAGACATCTAATCAGTTTGTTTTCCTTACCAGCAACTAAGTGATGTATGAAATCCCATGCTTCTAATAGAAAATGTGGAATCCATCTCTATCCTTATAAGTAGTTTGTTTCTGGGTATGTAACTTGAGCCATCCCCCCTTCTCATTGGTTTCACCACAAATCTGAGGTGTAGATCATTGTGGTTTTATCATTTTTAAGACAGGGCATATAACACATAATGATGATGGACACAGCAATGAATGCATTACAATTCCTAGAGAGGAAGAGAACACCTGCATGATGATAGAGCCTTGTGAGGAATCCTGCTCTGCCTGCACTGAGACAGAAAGGAGCATGGTGTTGTCAAATTTCACAGCTGAGCCCAGTGATGTGTATACAAGTGCAATAAATCTTCCATCACTTGCATGTTGCTGCATGACCACTTCTCTCTGGAACATGTTGGTGCCTGAGCATCTGGTCAGCATGGACTTATGTCCATGTCCAGCATTTCTCTATAAGGATCATGCATATTGAATGGACCAATTTAGGAAGATTCAGTTACCATTGAAACTGTAATGAATTGACCTTTTATTTTTAATGATCGATCCCTGCTCTTTCCAAGGATCGATTGATAGAGATTAAGTTTGACATATACATAGAGTTTTTGACACTGTGTAATCATCGGAAATACTGATATATATGTACCTGAACAGTGATGATATTTCTGTGTCTTGTCTATATTTTCAACTATATTTTTCAATGACAATGCTGACACCATTAATTGGTTAAAACTTTAATCGGAATTAAAAGGTAATAATTTTAATCGGACCCAAAATTCCTCCCTAAATGCCTGTTTTTCCCTTTCATTTTCACTGCACAGTGAACTGTTTTGCAGAAGGCGAAAAAAAATTGAATTTTGTGATTTGAATCCAGTAAAATTATGGCGTGTTGAAGGGAGTCGTTTTCGAGGGGCTCACTCTTCGGCAAGTAAATATGCGGTATTTCATCCCAGAAAAGGAAGCAGTAGAACAAAGGCAATTCTCTCCGGATGATGTTGAAAGTAGCGAGGGCCCTTGTGAGGAAACGGAAAAGAAAGCCATTATACACCCAGCGGTCACTGCCATTCTGTACGGTCGCAATACGTGAGCGGGGAATTGAGAGAGCTCGTATCTACATGGGAAAGAATCCATTCGTGTACCGAGCGTGGTACGTGAAAATACGCTGAACTGCAAGAAATGGGATCGGGCTTGTATATTTTTTCCTGCAGAACAGCGTTTTCTCCTGTCTGGGATTGATTATTCTTTTACTCTCCAGCTCTTTCCTGTCCCATCGGACAGCCGGAAGGTTGCGGTTTGCGGGTCGGTAACGGTCCTTGCAAATTTCCGTGTGGGTTTAACCATTCATGCGGGGCCCGCATGCAGGGACGCACTTGATCGATTCATATAGGACGAGGTCATGTTTATTTTGATATTGCGAGTCACAGCGCTCAAACCAGTTTCAAGACCTTGCTGGAGTTAGCATATGTATGTGGTATCGAGTCGTTTCAAAGTCACAAAAGTTCCCATTGAATAAAAAAAAAAGGATGAACGTGATTTTGCTTCTCTTGTCATGAGCAAATGCTGAAATTTGTTTTGGACGCTTTTTTTCCTTCTAAGTCTTGTACAGGACTTAGGAAAATAAGTCAATTCAAGACGAAGCATGAAACAGCAGACAAAAATAACCATTTTAAATGTGAATCGCACTCGAGAATTCTTCGAATTTATGTCAGACGCAAACCGTCCTTGACTGCTATGCAGATTCATAAAGTCAATGCAATTCGCAATGACTCAGTTAAAATTTTGCAGCCGCAGAATTTAATGAGCATTCCCATTTCGGGATGATTGAGAACAACAGTCACATTGTCACATGTTTCGCATCATTCCACGTTAGGTCAAATTTCAGCTCTCAATGAGGCAAAATGTCGAATTAACCCTTTCGCTGCTGCCAGGGGTTGCAGTATATACCCTGCCCTGTGCCGAGGGGTAGCGGGAAAAGTGAAAGTATGTTGGTTGAATTTTGCTTCTGCCTATTGCAAGTCCTGAAGCAAATTGAAATATATATATATATATTACTTACATTACTTGAGTGACATTTTGGTCTGCCAAATCTGCAGCAGGCGATTTAGCGTGGTCAGTTTACTGACCATGATGGCAACGAAGGGGTTGAGGATAGAAAATCCATTTCACGTTGTTCATGTCCACTTTTAGTTGGAATGCCCTTGTTGCTTTGTTTTTTTTTAAATATATTTTTTAAATTATTTTTCCCCCCCCCGTGCCTGTGGTAGTAAGATTTGTCGTCTTTTTCCGGACAAAGCAGTCGCTTACCGACAACAAATCCGAGGTCATATGGAAATTCGGAATCGTGAACGGTGCAGTGTGTGCATTTGCATCTGAGGGACAATGCATTGAGTACTAAACGGGATTTTTATCCCAACAAAGCAGTGTGTCAAAAAAGTGAATATGAAAGACGAGAAAAGCTGCACGAACGTCGATCCCGCTTGCATCGATTGCTATCAGATAAGAACATGAAAGACGGATCGTGTTACCAGCCGAAGGGTGATGACCTTGCTACGATGCGTCACATGTGATCGTCACGTCGCATGTGACGATCACGACGAAGATGGGAACGAGGGCGCCTATAGGGGGTGGGGGGGTTCTGCTTGTTTACCCGTTTCGCTGGGCCGTGGACTTGGCAACAGGAGGCGGGACTTCTTTCTATTCGTTGATGATATCATGAGGAAACTGGGGTCTCCAAACAAGGCTGATGTAGCTAAGCTTTGCACGTGGTGACAGGCGCCGGCGATGGTGGCATTGATGAAACATGCAGTTACATCACGAGTGGTCGGGGTGGGTTCTAGTCAAAAGAAAAAGAGCGGTGAAGAGAGGGAGGGAGAAGATGAGATGAAAGAGATATGGGAATAAAGGACGATTTCCTGCTCCTTCTGAAGTGTGCTAAGTACGAGTGCTTTTCTCTTTCTCTTTTGCCCCATCTGCCAGAATACTCGTGGAAAGCAGGCACCGTGAACCTTCCCGACACTTTTGAACCCGTTGCGCCCTTTCCCTCGAGCCGACCCGCTTCAGTACACGTGCTGGGGCTGGCTCTGCGAAACGGCAGTGTCCGCCCAGATTCAACGTGTAACGGTATATTCAGCGGCGTAGCGTTAGGGTAGAGGGGGGGGGGGGAGGCCACGTGTCTCCTCCCCCACTTTTTTAAAAATAGGAAGGAAAAGACGCATCAAACGCAGAACAGTGTCGCAGTTCCTGCCCCCCCCCCCCCCTACCCCACGCACACTTCTTCCTATCACGTTACACTGATGAGGATGTTTCTATCGCCACATTCAGGGAGTGGTTCAGTGGTGGTGTGATTAAAAATCAGATTAAGCCATTAGGTTTCTATTTACTGGCCGCCCTGATATCAAATAATATAGAATTACTCATCATGTGTACAGACTGATATCATCTTGTCTCTGATCCCTCCGCTTGGAAACAAGAGTAAAAAAAAAATATAACAGAGCAGATGCAAATGAGATAAGTCATAAATGTCACGCAGTCCCATGCCGCAAAAGGACTCAGGGGATGTGTCAAAGTCATGACCTTGGTACCTTTCTTTTTCCATGGCCCTTCTGTATTTTCTATGATAAGGACAACAGGAAGGGGAAACCACTTTATGATGCTCACTTGTCGCATCTCTCTACTGGTGGAGGCTTTCTCAGAGTTGAACATCTGTCCAACAATCATAAAAGATAGTCACCATATTCATACCGGTATCTGTGCCCTGAATGCTTATTGTTGAAGCATCTGGTATCGGTATTTTAAAATTTGTTTTTGCTCAGCAACAGCACTTGTCAAATACTCCTTGTCATTTGGTATATGTTTGGTGACGCTGACAAGTCATGACAAATGGTGTCAAAGAACCTGCACTGTGGAACTAAGTTCTGAAGTGAGGATTTCAACCAGGGGGTATTAGAAATCCTGTGTGAGTGTGCCTTCAGCCTGCATGCTGGAAAGTAAAAAAATAATAGAAGACATTTGATTTATTAAAAATGTACCTTTCTGTATTATTTTCATAGCTCTTTGAGCAAGGTAAGAAAATTATAATTCATTAAAGAATTTCATGAAAATGGTTGAAGTTTACATAATTAAACTTCACCTCTTTTTTGACATTTTCCATGTCAATTTTTTGACGTGGAAAATTACATGGAAATTATTCTCCATGTGATGCCTGGAGTTCTTTTCACTATGGAGATCCTGCATCATGTGAGGGGAATAAGTAGAAAGCATGCCAGATCTTTTAGGTTATGAACCAGTGTCTTAATGTAAGTGTGTGAGTAGTGTAGTGGTGACTACTATGTTGCTAGAATTGGCCATACCTAAGCTTAAGTCCAACAATAGTCATTATATGTATGACTTCTGTTTCAGGAGCTCAATCCTTACGATTTCTTTACACGGCAAATTCGTAAAATGGGGGAAAGTGAGGAATGTGAGGCCTATTCGTGTATGGAGAGGCATTCTTCGTGGAAAGCCGAAAGAGCCAAAGTTCTGGGTTTTGTACCCCAGCGGGAAGTAGTCTACAATCGATTCCTCCCTTATTCCTCTGAACTTGATGATGAATCCAACCAGCTGCTCTCTGTGATCAAGGCAAACCTTGGGAGGAGTGTGATGTTGAGGGAAGTTCGTCCTGGGTTTGTTACCTGGATGGTTCGCCTCTTCAGGTGAGTGAAATTGTATCTTGGTTGGGTTATATGATTAAAAATTAGCTGTTAGGTGCTAGCTGAGCTAAGGTAGCCGAAGTCTATTCATTTCATATGTAATAAAGAAACAGGATGGAAAAGATAATGGCTAAAGTGTAATGATGAGAAGGTGACTTCATGTGATGCATGTGACTTCAAACCTATCAATGTGTATGTCATAATTAATCCAGGCAGTCCACCATTTAGATGCCTGATTTTTAGAGGAAATTATGAGCCCAAAGCACAGTCTTCATAAACCTTTCTCCATCCATTATTTAAACACTCTAAAACCAAATGATTGCCAAAAAATCATAAGCTGTTTCAATTCTAGTTCCATGCTATGATTTTGTATTGATTTTCTGGTGTAAGGGCTTCAGATTCAAACATGAATTGACTAAACTAATGCACTCATTTTCCTAAGAACGGAATCCAGGCTTTCTCTTGGGCAATCTGTACCCCCTTTCTCTATTTCCTACTTGTTTTTCATGCTCTATCCGTGACTGTGCATTGAAAGGAAGCTTGCAATCAGAGTTAATTTTCTATATGAGTATTGATAACAATGCTAAAAATATTGCTCTAAGGCTTCTCAGTTTCAGCATCCCAAAAAATAAGGGCAATTCTTGTGTAGCAACCATAATCTGACAAAAATGAAATTTCCAGATTCTGAAGTAATGAAAATCTTCTTGCTACATGTATCCATAAAATATTTTCATTATTACGTTTTTATATAAGAGAGTGGTGAATTTATGTGGATGAAGATTGGTGGTTATTTCATCAATGGAATCTTATATCACCAAAAAGGAAGAAAAAAAAATTATATCCAGATAAGGAGTTTTCACGTTTTTGTCATGTCTGATTCTCCCTTAGCCATACGAAAATAGAATTTTCACTCACACTTGAGTATGAGAGATATTACATTTTCTCCAAACGAATTTGCAAGGTTTTGAATTTTTAGCCTGGCTAAGTAACTGGAAAAATTCAAAACCTGCCTCATATATGAGTACCAGTAGATGAACAAGGCTGGGTGAATTTATCTGCTCTTGAAATATGTCTCTGAAGTAATTGCAAAGTAAAAGTGCCAATCTAGGTCTAGATCTAGATCTTTGCTTTTGTTTAAGCAAACAACTTAACCATTTTTTGTACCTATATGCAAAGAGTGACTTGCTCATCTGTTGCCAAGCAAGAAACCCTGGCCTTGCCTAGCTGGGCAATGCAACATTTTCAATATTAAATTCTCTAAATGAATCATTTTGTTTAAAAGATTATAAAGGCATTTATACAGTTTCTCCATTTTTCCCAGTGTTGAAAAAGTGTTGAATATTTGTTGAAAAACCCAAAATCGTTGTCTTAGGGGTTGCTAAGCCATTGACTGGTCATTTCAGAAATAAAACACAATGTTGCAAACCCAACCATTGATGTGAATGTGTATTAAGATAACTTTACTTGATATTTACTTTAGCTTATCAAAGCATTTTGATCTGAGATTATACTCTCATTATGATAGGAAAGCTGAGTGCATGAGCATATGATACACTTGAAGAACCCCATGTTGAAACAGTACACTAGACCTATCCTATCCTAGACTATGCCTAAAAGGAAAAGAATAGTCTGATATATCCAATTGGCTCTTTATAGAAGTGGCTTATTGGTCATAGTCATACAGCTTATGACTTCACTTTAGGTACGTCAAAGTATATGGGATGAAGTTCAGCAAAGATGATCATGTGATATTTGTGAAGTTGCTATATGAAATGGTGACCCTGCCAGACCTGGACTACTTCATTGTGAAGAAGACTGCTCAAGTACTCATCACATTCCTGAAGTATGTTTGTTTCTGAATCCCATGCCTTTTCTTCATTCATTGGGTGTTTTCTTCTGTTCACAGTATTGGAGTGTTAGCAGTATCTATTAGTAGGTTTTTCAAGAAGAAGGTTGAGATATTAATGAGTGGTTTTTCTTATATCTCTTGTGTTTAGGAAGAGAGAACTTCTGTCACCTGAAGACCTCCAATTGCCATGGCGGCCCCTATTTGACCTTTTGAAGCGTCTCACTTCTTCCACAGTCCAAAGTCTACAAATGATTCTCCCTCCTCCGTGAGTATTACTGCAATTATCCTCTACTTTGAAGGAGTGTTTTAAGATTAATGTGTTATTTAAAAATGATGAGATTGACTGGCAGGTTTTCCACAATATTTTCTCAGTAGTTATATTTATTGTTGCAATTTCAATCATAAATACTAAATATGAATCTTTCTTGCAGGTCTCTGGTGAACACTTTGAAGACTCTCATTAGAAAATGTCGTCCGTAAGTATCTTTTCATGATTCGGCCTGTATCTTGTCTTGTTACTTCTCAGTGATTTGCTCAGAGGTCTTCTCAGTCCTACTGCTATTGTCTTAATCTAATAATGCAAGCACTTCATATTGAAGTGAATATAAAATGAAATTATGAGCATTTTCCTGTGGACAATGCATGTATGCAAGAATGGCTAAGAGTTAAAAGTGGGACTGAAATGGAAACTTCATATTTCTATTTTTTTTAGATTGATATATTTTTAACATATTCTTTCTATTTCTGGTGGACTTAATGCTCTTCTCATTTACAGGGGCATGTTGAATCAAAAAGGTCTAAACTTCTGCTCATGTTTAATTTTCCCATCTCCCAAATAAAAATTCTTAATCCCATTTGGAAGACATTCTTCCAGTCACCCTGCTGTTTTCACTTTCCAAGAGTTTAGTAAGCAAAAAATGCTAAGTAGTCTCAAGCGCTCTATAGCCTCTGTATTTGTGCTTGCATCCATTTTTCTTGACCATGTGCAATATGAACCAACAGTTTGGGTTGAGCATCAGCTGATACCAAGTTCCAATCATGCATTTGAAGAAGTTCCTCAGAGCCAAAAGGCCAGAGTCAAAACCTCGGTGGACTCACTTTTCATACCATTTGCATTTAATCTCTTGGTCATCGAAGCATAAATCATTTTCCAGCTACTTTCCATTGGGGACAACACAGGAGGTTCTAGATGAAGTTCGTCCAATGTTCTGCCCATTCGATTTGAAAATGCTGGATGCTCTCACATACTGTGAATTGTTCTTGCCCACTCTATTGCCTCCTGAGCATCATGACAAGGGATTTAAGCTCTGGTTTGAGGAGTTTATGACTTTTTGGCAGATGTGTTCCAACTCTGCACCTTGGGAACATGTGAGTGAAAAATGAGAGATATTCTCTGTTTCCTTGTAAAGGGTGTATGGTCCACAGTGATTTGACTTTCGCTTTTGCCAGGAGATGATGTGGCTGATGGGCCGTCTTGCTTATGACAATGTTGGTTACATTGACTGGGAGCCATATATGCCAATGGTCAGTTTTTATTTTATTTCCTTTGCTCCATAAATCGTAATTATTTCATTATGTAGTTTGAAAGTTGTTTTAACTGCTACTTATTCTTTTACTCATTAGATAATCAATTAAAGTTTAGTATAAATTATTGTAAATAGGTATTTAAGTTTCTCCTTTAATTTGTGTTGCCCAAAATGCATGTTACCTTCTCCCAGTATGTGGAATCACAAATTTTTTTCCTGCAACATGAAAAGCTAAAAATTGATTGAATTGCATTGCATGGTACAATGGTTTCAGCATTGCTCTTGATGAGAGCAATGTTGAGCAATTGAGCAATTTTAGAGCAATTTTTAACATACTAAAATATGTTTAAAATATATTCATCAGCAATGAGAATAGTGTCAACATCATGGAAGTCTCATGTTGTTGTTTCATTTTGAATTGTATTATATTTTGAAATGGTTTAATTTTTCTATTTTGTATTTTTAGAGAATATTAGAGATTGAATTCATGACATACAAGCATTAATGTATTTTCACTAAGTCACACTCCCAGGACAGATGGCAGGCTAAATTTATTAAGTATGGTATCAGGAGTGTTTCTCCAAATTTGACTTTCCTGTTTTTATTTTAAAGAGTTTTAAAATCAGAATTTGGTTGTGCAGTTGCATATTCACGGAAAAGCATTAAAGATATTGACAGGGTTGGATTTGTAGAATCTTGATAGTTATATGTATTATTTAGGGATTTGTTGTTGCTATTTTATTGCCATGAATAAATTGTATCTGATTTCTTGTCTAGATCTTCTTGAAGCTCCTACAGAGCTTCTATCTTCCTGTCACTTACAAAAAAGTCTCACCTGGAAATACTTGCCTTGATATTCAACCTGCAGTCATGTGGATCACTGGGACTTTGGTATGTCTTATTCATGGATGGTATATTAATGTGTGACTGACAGGATTTCAGATGGTAGCTATAGCAAAAATTGTAAGTCTAAAATTTTATTAATACAGTATTTGTTCCTAGGGAGGAGGGAGTACATGTGGAGACCACTTGAAGAAACTATTTTCTGCACTTGAATCATATTTCCATCCTGCCAACTTGGGGCGTTGGCAGAAAAGCTTGGCTGACTTCCTGTGGAAGCTCTCATCCTCCTTCACCAAGAGACTTCATCGGTCAGTCCTCCTTGTGCTTGCCTTTTCATGATCAGTAAGACTATGTTTTTCTTATCTTGGACTCTCTTTTCATAGGGAGAGAGACAAGAGGCCGAAGTGGGAGCCAAAGATTCCTGAACCATATCTCCTCAAAGAGGAGGATATTGATCACTTTGTCCAGTGCCTTCTCCCATCTGCTCTTCTCACCATTTACCATAAACTTGGACTCAAGGAAGCAGGTTTAACCTTGCATTTCCTGGCATTACTGCGACCTGAGAAGGTCATCGCACCTGTGGTTGACAAGTATGGAATACCTCTTCAGTAATAGAACATATTTAGTGTTTCAAAAGAAACTGTACCAAGTCGTTTTTTTAAAATAATATTGATAGTAAATTAGATTCTATTAACTCAATTTGTTTAAATTCCACTTGTGAATAAATATACAAAGGTTTCTGCCAAATTTGAAGAAAATGGACCAATTGTGTCACATGCAATACTGGTTCAAACTTTAAGGTTGAAAACTTACCAGACCTCCTTGCTGATATGTTCACCTCAACTGGTGCAGTGAGTTATTAAAGAGGTGAGAGAAGCTTGTTTTAACCCCTTAACTGGGAATTTTTTCACCAAGCACATTTTAACCCATGGGAGGTCAGACGTCAAAAAGAAGTCTAGTCCAGTTTAGGGGTTGAGCCTAGTGGATTATCCATACAGCCACTGAACACAAAGGGAGATATCACAAGACGTTGGTATATCCCTTTCAGCAGTTCATCGTGTCATCAAGATTTATCTCAAACAAAGATGCTTTATGAAAAAAGTGACTGCTGCAAAATTGGGTTCACTTAGTGCAGAGCATCATTGATGGAGCAATTCTTGATTGGCAACAGCGGCTGCATGCTTGGATCCAAGAATGTAGGAGTCATTTTGAGCATAAGATGTGATTAAAGTTGTACTTGCTATTATAATAAAAAAATTTGCACAGTTTTAGTTTGAAACACTTCATGCAATAAATATTAAATTTCACCTGAAATCTGCAGATGAAAGCCATACATTAATTTTGAGGATACAGCATACTGTATTGAAATGTACTAAAAAATATAAAGTAATTGATACTTGTGCTAGAAGAATAGGAAAGAATAAAGGAAATCAGGAGCTCTTTTGCTCTGCTACTGGACAACATTGAGAAGGAATTGGTTTCACAGATGTAAAAGTGGGGTTTGAATATAGCCTGCAATGACTTTGTGACAGATGAATTATAAGTGCAATGAGTCAAATGTGGAGGCATAGAGGATGCAGACTGTTGTGAAGATGTAATGCAACTCTTGAATGTGGCTGACATTGTATTGCTGTTCCTCAAGCCTTGAGATGTCTCACATCCCCATTTGAACTTTGCTGTGCACTTTTACTCACTGTTGCAACAGACAATATTTTTCTTGCACTTCTAGCATTCTGAGAAATTCAATTCCTTGTGCATCTTCTACAACTTAAAAAAGAAAAATCCTATACATATTTTGGTTGCTGCACTCCTTAAGGGAAGATATCATCTCAACAACTAAATTCCTCAAATGCAATGTGTCTGCTACACATGACATCTACATCATATGGTACCGAAGCCTGTTTCTTGCCCTAGAGACTTTGTGGGTTTCAGCTAAACTCCCCTCTTATGAATACCCTGTATTGCACAACCAAATCAAATCAGTTAATATTTCTTAAATACATATGTGACATCTTGTTTGTGCAATTCAATGTGATGTTTCTTAAAACTTATGGTATTTGTTAATGTAAATCTGGCTTGACATATCAATTGTCAATATCATTTTCTAGATTGTATGCAGCACACGAGACATTGACGGAGCCACACCGCCTGACGGCAACCATGCAGTGTCTGACGTGGATGGCAAGGAGCATGATGATCCATGACAAGCTCCGATGTCATGCCATTCCATTGTTGCATATGTCATTGCCTGGCATTGATCCAAATGACCATTTCAAGTGCATGATCACCTTCCACTTCATCTCCGTGTTTGCCTCTTTGGTCACATTTGTTGACTGTCACTCAGCTGCTGATTTCAATGATAATCTAAGCGAGGTAATGTTATGCAAAAGTGTTTGTCTTACAATGTTACTAGGGATGTTCAATAAGTAAGGTAAAAAGGTCTGCTGTGGCTAAGTTATTGCTCGGATAGAAGCACTTGTTTCATTCTGTAGTTCCGCAGTGGTGAGGGTTCTATTGAACACATGAATTGATCGCTGTGTAATATAGCACATATGTGACAAGCCAGTTAAGGTGGTGACCCTCCTAGAAAAGTGGTCATTCATTGAGGTGCTGAGTGCTGAGTCCTTCTCTCCGTGCAAGAGACACCACACCCGCAGAAGTCCACTGCCAACTTGTAGGGGTTCATGAAGAAAATGCCAAGTCTTAAAAATAAGTATGGGCATGCTGTAAAGCATTTTATACTGGGTGAACAAGCATCATTGAGGAACAAGGACTGGGTCAACCAAGACCCTCCTCATCGGGTGAGAATATAATGAAAATAAAAGGCATAATTCAAGAGGACAGGCTAGTGGAAATTCATCAGGTAGCTAGAGATCTTGATATATTTTAATCATAACTGTATTTCAAATTGTTCCTAATGAAGAAAATGAATGGATGAAGAAAAAGAAAAACTCTCTGCACTTCAACAGTTGACCAAGTTTCTGGGAGGGCTACCATCTTAATTGGCTTTTCATGCATCTGCAGCATTACACAGAGATCAATCCACACATGCAATGGAACCCTCACCACTGCTCTAGGATGTCACGAAACAAGTTCCTCGATCCAAGCAATAACTTAGCTGCAACAGACCTTGTTACCTTATTTATTGAACATCTCTCATATTATTAAAACTTATTTCAGCAAATGTTATTTCACTGCATTTTCTCAGTTCAGCATTTGCTTTAGGTCACCTCAATTCTCTGAGACCCATGGTAATGAGTCTCACTTTATAGCCTAAATAAAGTATTTTTAGTTGCCTATACCATACTCTCAGCAATATTGTCAATCACATTTCTCTGAGACTTTTCAGGTCATGTATCTGAGAGTCATACACGCAACTTTGTTTCTAACCCATGGAGGCAATTGTATCCATATGCTGTAACTGTTTTTGGTGTATACAGGATGGATAAAATAGTTGTTTCTATTGTTCATGATGCAGTCATGGATTTGACCCTGGCACTATGCTCTTGAGCAGTACTAGAGCTCTTAGAGATATGCACAGTTAGCAAGTGTCATAACTTTTGATTCCTAGAAGATATCTGTGGAAAGCATAGTTCAGTCAAGTTTCAACAAAATCTGTAGTTGTCCAGATTTGTGGTTGACTCTATGCAAATTAGATCAGCTGGGATATATAGGTCTTATTCCCAACTTAACCTGATACCCTTTCTGACCTGCTAATTTGGGTGTTTTGTGTCTTTCTAGTCTGATTTGTTGCCACCATGCAGACAACATTTTAAAAGATCTTAATTGCCTGTCATTGTCATTGCTTCTGAAAGAAAACCATTTTGAGTGATTGGGAGAAGCTGTCCTGATCCTGTATATTATGGTGTAATTTCAGCTAAGCCATATAACAAGAAGCTGTTTTATCTCTGAGTCAATTATGCAAAAATCAGTTTTGTATAGTGCTGAATATTGAGTTAAAAAGATGCAAATCAGGTCTGAAATTACTGTCATCTGAATGGCTTCATACAATAGAGAGGATTTATGTTTCAGGCAGAACAGGAAGTGTGCATGGCCTCAGAGGGTTTTGAGGAGTTTGTGCTCCAGTTCCTGGACAAGTGTTTCATGCTGGTGGAGAGTTCAGGTCAGGCACCTACAATGCGACTGGACCGAGACATTCTGCGGATGAACAGGGAAGAATCTCATGAGGAAGTTGGTCTTGCTTCCACTGTGGCTGGCATCCTCATGCAATCCTCCCCTTCCATCTTCCATGTCAGGCACATCTTTCTTTCCTCAGGGCCACTGTTCTCTTTAAATACAATTTCCTTCTTTTTATTTCTTTTTTTTTTAAAGAAAAGAAAGACAAGCCTAACTGCATTATTCTCTTATTGTAGAGTGCTTTAGACAAGATTCAGACATTCATTCGTGGTCGGTCATTTGAGCCAAAGGTATCTGGTCGATTTATTGCTGCCATCTGCAAGTCAGCTGCAAAAGTGAGTCAATATTGATTGCCATTGTGCAAATATAAATTATTCTACAGATGAAGGATACCATACAGAAGTTTTTCTTTTACTTTTTTGGTTTTATTTTTCAGGTGAACCCTAAGGTTACATATGCTGTGTTTATGCCAAGGATATTCCGTGAGATCCTGAGTGTGATGGATAGTGGGGCTGACATCCAAAAGGAAGAAAATTTAGATGAGAGTATAATCTTCAACTTGCTTCTACTCACTGAAGTGAGTCACTCTCCCTCCCTCTCTCACTGGAAAACAGTTGAATGGAAGCTTAGGCAAGGAATATTCTCATTGGCAATAGATAGAATAGAAACACATGTGAGCTGCATTTTGAATTACTGGGTTTCTGCTCTAATGCATTGTTCAAAACTTCAAGGAAATTTTAGCTCAGTATTAATCTGGACTGGATGTGTTCAAAGTCAGTGTATGTTTCAATTTACATTGTTTTGTTTCTCCATTAAATATCATCTAAACACCAAGAGAAAAACTCATTCTAAGCCCTCTGAGAATAAGGCATTGAAATTTGAAAAGTAATTTTCACAAGCTTTGTTTTGATTTGAATTATGACTGTTATGATTGAGTTTGTCTCAAAACTCTTATTATGAACTCTATCTAAGTATTTAAATATATATGAGCTATTTAGAGAATATATAGGGTGATAAAAAAAAGCTCTACTGTTTTCTATGGGAGAAAGTAATATTTGTATATTTGACCAAAAATGATAAGATTCATAAACTCATGATATCAGACATGAACAAGGTATTGAGATGAATGTCTGGTATTTTCAGAACCAATCTCTTAGCCATGCATTGTCCTGTTACAAAGTTTACATACAGGTAAATCATTAGGATCATACACTTTCAAGTGCAGTAACGGTCATTGAAACCCATCATCTCAAAACTCAATTAAAGTACAGTAGTTTGCCAAGTTATGGCCTTAAACTGATTTTGACCAAATTCATATTCTTTAAATCAGCTTCAATGTCATATCTTTTGAAAGGGCTCTCAGATACAACTGATATTTGGCAGAGTGGCTCATGGGCCGATAAGGTTTTTTTTTTTCCTCCCTAAAATGTGGTGTAGCATAAAGAAAAGGGATGCTCTGGTTGACAACAGTGCCCTATATCAGCATGCAGCACTGTCTTTGGGTATGTGATAAAACCTCTTAGACTCATAAACCTCTCTGTCAAGTATTAGCTACATCCAACTGTCCCTTGGAAAGTTACAGCCAATCAAAATAGGGTTGTGACATCAGAACTGTGTAGTCAGGAAGTTAGCATCTGGGGGTTGGGGGCCATGTTGCACCCCTATGGCCAAATTAAAACTCACTTTTCTTGGTTTATGCTTCAAGCACAGACATATGTTTTTTGTATTACTATTCTCAAAATAATCTCACTCTTTGCAAATTTAATTAAATTCTGAGATTAAGGATTAAAAAAAAATTAAGGAAAAATGTATTCAGGGAATCAGACTTTTATAAGGTAAGTAAATGGAGCTCAACTTATGTGGAGCTTTAGCAGTTTTAGGGTGGGCCAAAAAAAAGGTAATTGAAAATGAGTTTTTATATTTTTCATTTCAGAGCAACATTGGATAATTATCATGCCTCAATATTCTGTTGAGGAGCATGTATGGATTGTCGAACTCTATTTTCAAAGCTATAGATCAGGCCAAATACATTTCAAATGTGTGTATAAATAAATAAATGATCATTATATATTGTAGTTTTGGTTACCCTTTTTTTTGCCTCATCCTGTATCACATGCCTTAGCATATCTCAAGAAACTTAACATGGATGCATAGTGTGGTATATACAGGGTGGTCCCAACTTTACATGTCCACATGCAGATTATCATATAAGGTACCTATTGTCACATTAAGTGTGGGTAGGTGGTTTACCAAACATTTAAGCAAAATTTTTCATTCATTGCCTGAGTAGCAGCATATTATTGTACTTATGCTATGAGTGAATATTATTATATTCGCTCATTGCATAATATAATAATTCATGACTGTCTGTGCAGCTAGACTGTGGTTGAGTAAGTCCAGGCTTGTGCAGAGCTAGCTTAGCCTTGTCATGGTTTATGAAACTGATTCTCTTTTTGCAGATTGCAAGAACACCTGGGTCTGAGGAGCTGATGGAATATCTTCCTCAGATTGAAAAGGTCCTAAATGTAACCCTGCATGTGAAGTGCAAGGAAGCATCAAACCTTGCCGCCTGTCTCCTCCGCAACTGCCTGCATTGCCTTGTCTCTGTCACCACCTGTGAATCTCGTCTTCTCCCAATTGATTACTCAACTCCTGTTTCAGACTGCTTTTACATACGGGTAAGTTTAGCATCACTGAGACATCGGCCGTGATTTTGGCTCCTGAGCTTTCACTTCACTCCAATTTATTCCAACTTTTTTGCCCTGGGCAAGGCAAAAAATGTGGAATAGACTTGACAGCACTAGAGTAAATAATTGATACTAGGTCAACATGCCTCATTGTGAGCAGGCAATTTCTGATAATATTAAATTATCTGTATTTATATGGATATAGTCTTCAGGTATGCAAGTGGACAGCCAATCATTGCAAAAGGGATTGTTCTATTAATCCAAGAAGGATTATAGCTATTCGAATGTTTCAATTCAATGGATAAGATAATAGCAAAATGGTATTGCCACAGTAATATGGAATATACATGACTGAACTCAATTTTTAACTTGTTTAACTTGCCATTAAGGACTCTTTGAGTTGTTACCCTACCTGTCCTGTTTGCTTAGATGCATTTCATTGAGAGAGTTTCTACTGATCATGAGCTCTGGATATATTTTGTAATTAAGTCTTGTCTAGGGAAGGATCCAAGCCTTTGGTTTGGGCCTATTTCCTTGAAGTGTGAAAGATGCCTTATTCTGAGCATCCTGTGTAGAAATGGGGGAAAGGAGTCCGCATTGACCGCCTAAACATCAAGTGGCACATCCCCTCTGAGGCTGCAAGAAATACAGCAGCCTCCCTTGTCCAAAGATATCTATCTGCTGAGCTTGAGATCCTGACGAAATTTTCAAAGAAGGAAGTAGAACTCACCAGGTATGTGAAGCAATGCAATGAGAATAAGGAAGCATTAATTTGCCATGATATGTGACGTGCCTGCTTTCCTTTCCCATAGGAAAGTATATTCCAGTCCATAAGCATGAATGAATTCCTGAAAATGATCATATTATGTTGCCAAGTCCTTCTTGTCCACACATTTCCCACAGAATATAAATCAGCAGAACTTCGGTGTGAAATCAGTTGCATTCATGAATGATATTTCTTCGATCATGAAGATTGCTGGCATCAAAACAAAGTGGAGAGATAAAGTCAAAATAATTCATTGAATATTCTAGAGAAAATAGAGTTCTGCAAAAAAACCAGGCACTTTTGTAAGATGTTAAAAATCCAAATAATCTCCGAGAAAACTGTACCACTCTCCTTTTGGGATGTTTGTGATTTGGAGGGATCTGTGAAATGCTTTATCTTATGATTATGTCCTATTTGTGGCCTTTGAGCCTTTGGGGTCTTTTTAAAATGATTCATGTATACATTATTTGTATTTTACTACATTAGTGATGACTACAGATAGAGCAGCTGGCAAGTACTTGCATGCACATGGAGAACATATGTTGGTACATATCCCTTATTAAATGAAATTTACCCACCATTAACTTTGGCACAGGGCCAAAGATTGGAACATAATAGTTAGGAACTAAAGTATGTAATATGATTTTAACATGAAATACATGACTAGATTCTTTTCTGAAATCTACCAACTAAACAGCTGCAGCTAGTTGTTTAAAGTATATGATGACATCAAAAGAAACAGAACAGTGATGTGTCAGCAAGTAAGCCTATTTTGAAATACTGTGATGAATTTGGTAGGAAAGTAATGTACCTTTTATCTCCTTGCAAGAATTTCTGTTGCACGTGAGGTTTTTTTGAATGAAAAATATTCCTTGAGGAATCAAACTTGGTTCTTCATAAAGGGCCGGTTGTGGATGTATTCCAGTTTGTTGGAAACTGTGCAAGAGTTTCATTTGTGATGATGATGATGATGATGATGTGAATGGAACAGGGAGGACCTGGAACTGCGGCTGGGAATTGCCCATTCAGTCCTTCAAGGAGCAGGAATGCTACTGCCTCCAATCGAGGGGAAGGCCATGACTATGTGAGCCCACACCCATCAACTCTGATGGATACCTATGATGTCTTGCATTGAATGATGCTGGTCTGTTACAGCTTGGAGAGCCAGGTGGATTGTAGTCCCATGGGTCTGCTTTTCTACCCAAATTCCTGCAAGCCCATAACCTTTGCAGATGGATCGTGTGTAAGGACTAAGGTGGCACAAATGCTTCATGTTGTTTTGGAGACTCTTCTCTCTTCCCCATCCAGTGGATATGTTCAGGCTCACCTCCGACTCATTCCAGTTAGTTCCAGGAAATGATTCTGCATAACAAACTTGTTGCATTATTGATAATCAGCTGATACAGGTACTTCATTTTATAGAGCTACCATGCGATACTCTTCTACTATGGTGTCTTGCGTAGTGAATATGAGGTAAGGATGAAGAGCTTCCACTACATTAAGCCCATGCTTGGGGATCAGCTACAGTGCCATCGGAAGCACATCCGGCCCCTGCTTGTTGAGCGCACACACCTCCAGCATGACCTGCGTGTCCTTGAGAGTGTCCCAAATGCAGTCACACCTATCCATGAGCAGATTCTTCGTGATCTTCACAAACTCTCAACCAGTCACTATACAGAAGTGAGGATCCAAGGGCAGAGTGTGCTCCAGTCGTTCTTGAGCCACTTCCCGTTCTCGTATCGCCTGGTCCTTGATGATACCCTCAACCTTCTTCGCAAGGATCCCAAGATAACTCATGAGCAACTCAAGGTGGGATGACTGTTAATGGGTTCATTTTATTATTTTAGCATTTTCTCTATCAGCCATGAATTATTCATTTATTGGAAATTAGAACTCTGCTGATCTTGATTGGATCCATATATAAGGACATCTTAAGATAGTGTGAGATAGAGCTCTTCATATGAAACTACAGTACCTAATTTGCCCTCATCTTCAGAACCCAGATTGTGAGTACAACTGTGGTCCTTACAAATTTGTTTATGCCATTGATTGTAAGAGGTGTGAGGTGCATTATGCAAGAAAGATAGGAACTACTTTCAGATTGCATTTCAACAATCACAGCTCAATTCACAGAAATGTTCCAGACCGAGCTATGACCTGAAATTTAACACCACCCCTTATCTTATTTGAAGGGTGATGTTTCTGGAGGTTCCAAGTTGAGGAATGAAGAAAGGATTGGAGGTTCTAATTTATTTCACATCATCAAATGAAAGACCCATACAAAAGGATCCATATAAGAACATTTAATTTTTTCTCTTATCCCTTCTTTTCAACCATGAAGTGACTCCTTAGCAAAGACCTAGCAATATGGAAAATAGGTCTATTCTCCCATTCCCTGTGAGAAAGGTCTTTTACACAGAAACATTGGAAGTCATAAGGAATATCTGGTCTCAAGCTTCTACATACACCCTTGTCTCTTGTATGTATCTTGTTAGAAATGTCTTATCAAGGAGAATGAGATTTCTACCATGTACCTTCTACACGGTAGTGGGGAGGCAGGGAAAGGAACAGGCATGGAACATATGTTTTAGCACTAGAACTAGCACTTGATAGTTATTGCTTTTTTCCTCTAGAGTTGCTACTTCATAAAATATGAGTTTGCTCTGAAGTGAGCTATAGAGGCATTCAATGTCATTTTTTATGCTCTCAATTTGCTTTTTCTGATACCATCAATTTCAAACTCCTATCAACTAGAGTACCAGCCCAGGCATAAACTTGCCATTCCACTGGCCCATATGCCTCTGTAGTTTTCTTATCTGTAGGTATCTTTGGAATCTGATATTTATGCTTGGAGTCATCTTATCTTACCAGTTTTTAAGAATATCAGAAATGGTCTAGTGCAAAAAGTGACAAATGCAGTTGAATTGACACATTAGGACTAACTTTACTCAGCTTGATTCTTCTTCAATACGAACCCTTGATTCATTCTCTCTCTGTCTCTTCAGGGAGCTCTCTACCTGCTGGTGAGTGAGAAGGGAAAGGCCATGATTGTTAAACGGGATTGGAGTTCCTTGAAGAAGATCTGGCCTACCCTAGTCATGGCACATCACTCTGAGAAACCATCTATCACACATTTGATGGAACGTATTATAACAACTGTTGGAGACTACTTTGAGACCTTTGCCATTACTCTTGAGGTACACCTTTACCTCTGTTTTCACTTAATTAGAACTGTAAATAGACAGACATTCATGTGACTTTGCCTTTAATGGGTGACAGATTCCTGAAAGAGTAGTGGAAGCAGGAGGACGCCTGTGGGATAAAAAGGAGGATGGATCCCCTCCACCATCATTTTCAAAGCCAACTTCATCTGAGGTGAAGTTTGGTGAGACCATATTGGCCAACAAATCAGCAGAAAACATCAAGGCCTACCATGAACTTGTTGATCATCTAACGGTTCTATTAAGTAATGAAAATCTGTAGGTATCTCCTTTTTTATTTTTTCAGTCTTAGTCCTAATGGAGATGGAGATTGTTTTCCTTTTTTTGCGGAAGGCATTGGAGATTTTTCAGCTTGGGCATTGGTGCACTGACCATGCTCATCCGCCTTGATGAGAAACTGAAACCTAAGACGGTGAAGGTGTTTGTTGACAGCCTCAACAGTGACTTTCTGGGAGTCAGAAAGGTCAAAGCCTCTTTCTTCTTTGTGTGATATGGTGAAGAGCTGAAATGTTCAATGATTTGATGATTTTCTGGCATTTCAGTGGGCCATATTTGGTTTAGTGTGTGTGCTGAAACAGCAGAAGCAATTGCACAAACTGAAGCACATCCAACCAATAGACCTTGCCCCCAAGAATGAACATCCCAAAACTCCTGTGCAAATCCAAAGAGAGAGACGGATGGGAGACCGAGAGGATAATAAGTGGCTTCAGTACAATTCAAAGGCAATGCCAATGTCTCGTGAGGACTGGGATGGGATCCCATATGTGCACAAGGCCTGGATTGGCTGGTATGGCTGGCCAGATCCCATGATGGCATATGCACCAATCCTGGAGCAACCAAAGGTAGATCGGACTCTTGAGGAACTTCCAGAAGAGGAGAAGGTCATTAGGGACTTCTTCACATCCAAAGAGTGCATTGAGAAGTTGGTCAAATTCCTAACCCTTGAGGAGCGCAAGGACCAGGATAAATTTGACAGCCGACGTTATGCAATGTTCAAGGTGGGTAGAGTAGATTAAGTATGTTGATTGAATTGAGCCCAGGCTGGTAATGATTCTGTGAATGTTTTCCCAGGAGTGTTGAAAGAAAAAGGTAAATTCAGGCAGATCAAAACAAGTACAAAACAATTTTTGTGAGTGTCAGTATAGAGAAGGTCATATGCGAGAAGGAAAACAATGTACAGGATATGACAGCATTCATGAGTGTCCACTTCTCTTTGTGGAGACCTTCTCTATTCAGACACTCAAAAATTGTTTTGTACTTGTTTTGATCTGCCTGGATTTACCTATTTTTTTAAACACTCCTGGGAAAACATTCACAGAATCATTTTTACAAAGATTTTTACATTAGAGATAAAAGTTCCTTGTCCTTGGTATCTATGATGTATCTGTAAATCCACCAGTAAAGCAAGATCTGGAGATACTGATATTTTCCAGGAGAGAAAACAGGGAAAAATTAAAGTTAGCCTTGCTGTTTGATGAGATAGGCTGGAACAGGGGAGGGTAATGGATGAGGTCTAAAGTAGGAATGAAGAGAAGGTGCTTGAAATTAAGCCTAGAAATGGCAACTGCAGATCAATTGACAGTTCACCCGTCACAGGGTTTAGCCTTGCTGCTGCTAGGGTTAAGTCTGTGTGTTTTATATCAGGTATGCTTATCCCTGTCCCCATACAATGTACATCAGATTTGAGTATTTGCTTATAAAAATTTGCTGTTCTACAACATGAAAGAAAAATTTAATTAAGTTTGCCCAGCAGCTACAGGAAATATACATATTCAATATTTTAGGAGCATAATCCTTTGCATCAATATCAGACCATAGGGCTCTCAAAAATATATATTTGGACCCCTTTTTTGTCTTGCAGAACTTCATTTTGCTGGGAATTTTTTTAAAGCCATTAATTTTATTGCAGACTTGAGATCAGCTTTTGAACAACTTGTGGTAACCAGCTGATGAATTGTTTCTAGCTATAACAGGATATTGCTATTGTAATCTACTTTGCTTTGTGGCAACCCTGACACTACGGTCCTTACATAAACATACTCAGGATGACAGCAGATTCTTTTAAGAATCCTTGTATGCAAAATCTTGCAGGGATTGTTCAGGAACCATGGGGATGCTGTATTGGAACTTCTCAAGCCTCACCTTGAGGAGATGGTGGTCCACACCCGCGAAAGTCATCAGAGGTGTGCTGCTGAGATCTTGGCAGGTTAGTCAAGCTATGCATCTCACCTCATGAATATATCATAATATACATGGTTTTCCATAATGTGCACTTATGCTTTGTCTTTTTTTCTTATTAAAAGGGTTAATGAGAGGGATGAAGCACTGGCCATATGACATGGTCATTCGTACCTGGAAGTTCCTGGATCCATTGATCAGGACATCATTGGCCAAAGTGACTCCTGAGTCTATGGGAGATTGGGGCACCTGCTATGCCACTACTCTTGTTAGTATTTTATGCTCTGATCTAGTAATTATAGTCACTTTTGCAGAAGAAGACAGACATAAGGCAGAGCAGGGTGAAGTGTGGTGTAATATTAGATGTTGATGCAAATGATTAAGTTAATATTGATATTGCCTAACTTTTAGACAGCTCCCATGGAAGACAAAGTTGTGTATTTGTGAATGATCCTGAATGAAGATGTATTGCAGGAAAGAAATGCTGAATCTGGACCCATCTTTGATGGGAAAGATTATTATGTTCTTATACTTATCATTTAGATTCTTGATCATGAGAGAGGAATTGCTGTTACACCCATTACCATGCTCTGCCAGTTTTGGTTCTTTCTCATCTCTTTTAACATTATATTGGTGGTGATCCATCACACTAGCTCCATGGTGATGCATTCCTGAACAGATATGCCAATTTCATTTAGGGTTTTTGTTCTCAGAAAACAGCATGGGACATGCAGTATGTGCCAGTGAAATCCACCTCTATATATGCTGCTCATTGAAATGTTCAATTGCTGCCAGTCAAAGCACACAATTGCATGATCCCTCAAGATGTATTTGGGATCATTTCATTCCTCCCTATTTTCACATCACCTCCAATGGATCTTCCCTCATCTGTCTTCTGTTGTGCCTTTCATTATATGGCTGGAAAGGAATTTTCCCCCTGGTTGTTGGAGTGTCCACCTGATAGGAGGTACTGATTTTAACTGATTTATTCAACCACTTTAGGGCTTTTGTAAATTCAGGCTTCCATGGGAGGTATCCCTTTGTGTCCACATTGCCATTCTGGTTCCCTTAAGTCTATTTTGGTTTTAACTAAACTGATGATGTGTTGATGCAGGAGGACCGGGATCCCCGTCGTTACTATTGGCTTCTGGAGATCCTCATGGATGACCCCATCAAGAAGGAGGAAGGTGCTTTTCTCAATGCCAGGTATATTTTCACGTTATACCATTTAAAGAGAGGGAATGTCCCTGTTTGTTGTTGGTCATTGCATTGTGGTGTATGTATCTCCTTGCTATTTTTCCCCTTTTCATTTTTCTGATTTCATCATGGGAATAATATGCCTCAGAAGAACCAGATTTTCTCATATGGAACCATATATAAAATCATTTAAAATTAAGTTATATCCATATCTAAAAAATATGCAGTGGAGGTCCAGAAAGGTAAAGACTTTCATCTGGAATAGACCCCAAGCCTCAAGGTTGTTATGCACTTCTTTGACTCTGGTCTCACTGACTTGCTGCACTGTGGTCTAATTCCTACTGCTACAACTGTCTAGTTGAGATGAAGAGGTCAATGAAGCAGTTGCACTTAGACTGGAGAGGCGACCTGTATTCAGGGTTGTGCAAAAGTTCCTGTACACTTTGAAAATCTAACTTTTTTCAATAATCAACAGATTTTTGGCGATTCTGAGGTAAAATTTGATTCATTTATCTTTTTTTCATGTTCTATGTACATAATTATTCAACTAACAAGCCAAGGTTAAGGTTTTATCAAAACTTTAACTATATAAAAAAAAAAGAAAGAAAGAAGTGAAAGAGAAGAGAAGAAAGTGTACGAGAAATTTTGCACAACCCTGCATAAACGACCACTTATAGAAAAATGACCATTTTGAAGTCAGGTTGTTATATATCTACCTTGTATATATATGTCACCACCACCAATGATACAAAATCCAGAATAAAGGATGCAAAGGGCATGAGTTTTGAAGCAGGGACAGTGACAAAGAGTGGAAGGCTCTGCAGAGCTTCACCTCAATTGTCCCTAAGCCCCTAAAGGGCTCAGGATTCTTAGTGATTTTCTCGTGTGTGTCCCAAACTGCAAAGATCCTCTCGAAATGGGATACTAGAATGGTTTTTCTAGTACTGACTAATAAATTTGCACTGTTCCCATAATGGGCATTGTAGAATTCAGTTCAAATAATATTGTTTCTCACTTGCTTTTCAGCCGTATCTACATGATGCAGGGAGCAATATGCCCCCAAGAATGGAAGGTAGCAGAGCTCCAGCACCGCTTTTTGAAATATGTCACTCCGTACTTGGACCACCAATTTCAGAGTCTCAGGGAACGCCTTGGAAGGTCCTTCTTTTTTTTTTTTCCTCTTGAAATTTTCTTTCATATGGATAATGGAAACTGTTGTTGTCTGGGCAGGATATTGAACACACTCTTCCACTATGACCTCAGCATGCCCAAGGGATCCAAATCACTGGGTCCAAAACGAAAGGAATTTGTCAAGGAAGTGCTCCCAAGGCTCCAGTGTCTCCTAGAGAGTAGCATGAATTCTAAGCTCCCTCGTGAGTCCCCTTCTAATCATTTAGTGATTGCACAGTTCACTGAGTCAACATGTTTCTGTTCTGCTCCAATAGGTAATGATGAAGCTCTCACAAGTGCACTCAATTTGCTCCAAACTCTGTCTCGATGGCTCTCAGGGAATTTCTATCTCTCCTATAAGGCAGCCCCAGAGGAAGTCTTCCTCTTTCTCCCAATTGTAAGAAGAAGAAAAATTTATCCCACCTGTTCTCATTTTTGAAACTCATTCTTCCCAGTAAGGAAGATATAGGGCCATATAAAAAAATATTTGCAACAGACATTTTATTTTCTTCATCTTAAGTATCTTTTATATTTCACTCTCATTGGGATGAACATTTGATCATGTTTGGAATCATGCTTGTTTTTGTGACTAGGCTGTAATGAAGATTAAAATCATATGAGTACACTCAATGGTGATTCCCTTGGTTGAGTTTGTGCCCTGATAGGATTGAGGACAATTCCAGCCACCAAATTCTCTGTTCTTGGGATGCTTTTGGTCCACACTACCTCATAGATATTAAAACTCATTTCCAGCTTTTCAAAGTCATAATTCAACTCCAATATCTTCCTTGGAGGTATCCATAGTAAAGGATATTTTTAGAGTTTTTCTTGCCATAATTTCACCATATGAAATTCTAAAATTGAATATAAATAAGAAGGATTGAACTCATTGAGCATGTCTATGTAATTATCTGCTTATCTGTCTCACTCATAAGTTCTTGTGTGAATGCAGTTCAATGCAGAAAACTGATACATCACTTCAACGATGTGCATGGCACATCTGGGATTTGATCTTTCAGTTTTTAGTTTTCGTTTTTTCTATTAAAACATGTACAAAAGGAAGCCACTGTGAGAGCAATGCTTTCTTGTACATTTGCTCATCCACAGTGATTCAGCAGAAATATATCTGACAGAGGATGTGCATCTTACTTTTCCAAAACTTAATAGTTACAGCCCATAATGCAAATCACCAGAAAGTTTCATCTCATTCCCTTGCCGCATTCCCTTTAAAAGATATCTCTCTAGTGCACTGCTTGGCTAAGTTATGGTTGGTGCTTCAGAAAGTAAGAGTCCTTGCATATAAAGCAAAGGAAATTTTATGCAAAATTTGTTTTCAAGTAAAAAAAAAAAAAGAATTTGCCCTAATAGTTTCCAGAGATGAAATCCTTGTCCCATGACATATAGGCAATCAGTTGTCACCATGCACTTCTTAAGCAAACCTTGACACTGAGGCACTGTTGATTGCTTTTCATATCTCATAAGATGACCTTCACAAGTCATCAACAAAAACCCAATTTGCATTCTGAACGTGTGCTATGCATAATCAATGAGATGCTGTTGTGTTGCGTAATGAATCATTCAAGTATCCACGAAAATTGAGTTGCAGCTACACTGTCTTGATTATAAATATAAAGCCCATTCTGTTGCATTTGAGAAGCTGGAATGATTTTGTTCATATGGCACTTTGAATTCTCTGTCAATACAGGTAATCTTACTCCAGATTCCCATCTGATGCTATGAACATTTTGGTGATACGAACTTGTATAAGGGAAAGTTAACTAGATGCTATTTCTGATGCTGCCTTCTTGGACTCTGAGTCTAATATGGATATGAAATTTACTCATTGAACTGACTGCCTGCTACTTGCTAAATTATCTGACTGCTCGAAAGGAGGATTTGGGAAGGCAATCTTTAAGCCCTTCAGGCATTTCCATTATCCTGATTAGTCTTGCACCAAAAGAGTCTTTTTTATTGAGATACTTCTAATCAAGTAATGATGTGAGACTCTGGGAATCCTAGTTGTGCCTGATGGAGAACTATGAAGCTAATGAAGAAGTGAGGAAGATCAGCCTGTATACATTGGGTCATTTCGCACAAGTCCTGATCGATCCCAAAGATTTCCCTGAGCTTCTAGCCACGATACTAAAGGTTAGTTGTCCCTCAGTCAAGCATGCAAAAATGTCCACTCTGTGCGCTGATATCCATAATTATGAATCGGTGATAGGTCGCAGGTAGTGGGCACTGGAAGTCCAAGGCTGCCCTGCTCGCTTACATGCAAGTGATGGTGTTCAGGAACCTGTTCGTTGTGACGCAAAAGGAGGAGTGGGTGCGTAAGATCAGCGAGATCGTGTTAAATCTCATGGAGGACCCACGTGTCGAAGTTCGTTCGATGGCCGGTAAGGTCATGTCGGGACTCCTGCACTGCGAAATCCTTCCTAATCAACATGAGCTTAGGGTGAGCACCTCTCGGTTTCTTTCTGACTTGGTTTGACCAAACTCGAGCCTCAGCAACTCTTTCTTTTGCAGAGGACTTTCATGAAGAAAAGCGAAATATCCTACAAGAAGGCTGGTGTGGAGGCCCTGCGAGCAAGGCATGCTGGGGTCCTGGGCTTATGTGCATTTGTGGCAGCATATCCGTACGATGTTCCTGATTTCATGCCAGACATACTCATGATGTTGGGTGATCATCTTCATGACCCAGAACCCATCCCTGTAAGTATTTACATTTATTGTTGCTTTCAATAGACAAGACTAGTAAACATGTAAATTATGCAGTACATGATTATGAATGTTATGTTGTAATATAAATTGTTCTTTTTGCATTCATCAGACTTCCATCCGAAGCACCTTGTCAGATTTCAAGCGGACCCACCTCGATAACTGGCAAGACCACAAGGCCAAGTTTTCAGACGATCAACTAGGAGTTCTCACAGATCTCCTGGTATCCCCTAGTTACTATGCTTGATCATCTACAGTATATTCGTCTTTCCTCTGCGTGGCTTCGGAGCGCAGCAGATAGGTCGTGTGTTTTATATCGTCGAGACGTGGCTGCTTATTTTATGAAACTTTAAGTGATGCCATTGCGAGTTCAAGCTATTGGTTTATATATCCTTGTTGTATGATGGTAAAATTTTGTTAACAGATAATAAAAATTATTTCTTCTGATATTGTCTTATCCTTGGAGAGGATATTTTTGTCCGAAGAATCGGTTTGGAGAAAGCTGCTAACCTTGAGAGAAGACTCATTTCTGCAAGTCAATTTTCATCTCGGCGCACTATAAGTCAGGGATAGAGGCGGGATGAACTAAATAAATTCGATTGGGTCCGCTTTTGGTTCGGGTTTTAAAAAATTTAGGAATTTCGGTTCGGGATCCAGTATCCACGAGAAATTGAGGTTGGGTTCCGTTCCAGTTTGCGACAGTTGATTTCAGCTCCTGCCCGGTTCCGGCTCGCTCATAAGAGAGCCATCACTTCGGGTCGCATTTGCTGAAAATGCTGAAAAAATTGCTTAGTGTTGAGCAAACTGCGCCATCGAGCAAAACTTATTCATTGCAGAAATGTGTGTCTCGAGAACATCCTTAACCTCAACCAAATATTTTGCTCGATAGAATAATTGACCCAACCAACAGAGAACGCGTTGCTTAATTCGCATAATTCATTTCATAGGCAGCGCTTGGGTTCTAAGATTTCTCGTGGTTTTCGCAGATTGCTCGAGGGAGGGCCCAAGAAGGGTGCCATCTCATCCAGGCTAAAAATAAAAAATAAAAATAAAGATCGGATAGAAAATGAATCGGTAATAGAACAGATAAAAATAGACGAAGCAGAGCGCAATCGAGTTCCATGAACCGCCCCTGACCTGAGCCGCACAGTAAGCTTAAAAAATATATTTAGCGTAGGTTTAGCATGCGAATTTCGCCGTAAATTCGAGCAGAAAATTCGGAACGCCGGTTCCGCTCGGGTAAATCGCATCTCCAATCGTTTGCGATTTTGCTGGAAGAAAATCCAAAAGGCAAAAAGTTCGTTCAGAAATCCGGCCGACGTTTGATGCCAAATTAGATTATTTATTCATTTATTTATTTGCATAGGAAAGCCTCTGAGTAAAATTTTAATTTTCGAGAGAAAGACTTTTAATTTTACCGGGAAAAAAAATTGCATTCCTTTTAGACATTCACATTCTCCTCTAATTATTTTATCATGCAAAGATTCCTTCATTCCCGGGGAACTGTAGTGCCTGGGATGGCATGGAGGCAGACTACCAGGATTCGGTGGTGCAGCGGTAGAACGCCCGACCGGCGATCGGGAGGCCCGGGTTCGATTCCCGGCCGTCCCCTCCCTTTTTTTTTTCGTCCTCCCATGCCATCCAACTCTTCCCTCCCATTGCTGGATCACTACAGTAGATAGTAATTAACATTCTTTTAATCAAGTTTTCATTTAAAAAATTTTTTAAAAACGATAATAAAAAAATTTTGCCAATGAGTTTCTTTTTTAACTCCAAAATAATATAGAAATTATTCAAAGCGATTTTTCAGAGCGACGTACAAAGCGATCAAATTTAAAATGTCAAAAACCCTTTAAAAAAAAAAAAAGGTAACGAAAAATAAGGGAAAGGTGTCCGAGCGCATTTCCCCAATTTTTCATGCATCAAACCTGGAAATATTGAACACGAACTCGTTCCCGGTCGAAGGTTCGCCCTTGGTTCCCGTTCCGGTTCCTCGTTTCGAACTCGCGGGAGACTCGCTAAGTTTTCGTTCGACGACCTTTATTTACGAGACGTGCCCTTCACAAAGGACGGTAAGAAAAAGGCAAGCTCAGGCGAATAGACCAAAGATTCCTTGGCATGGTCGCTCTGGGGTTGGCGTTTTTTTTACAATTATTTTCTCATTCTCTCTATTTTGTATTATTATTTTTGCTTCGTCCATTTTGAATTTATTATTATTTTATTTATTTCCCACCTGTAAAGAACAAATGGAACATAAGGCCGGATAGGACTAGGGATGCATTGACTCGATCAACCGCGCAATGATGCCCACTCGATGGTGTCAGCATCTTCAGGCTCTCGTGCGTGCATGATGGATGCACGCATCGTCGTCGGATGGAGTCGGGAGGTAACCTGGCTTGCGGCGTGGGCCAATGAGGTCAGTTGCTGGCCTGGTGGCCGGGGACGTGGCCTCGGGCCTGGAGGGGTTCGAGGGAGAAGTCGAGGAGACGTGGGCGAGGTCCTGGTGGGGGGAGGGAGGCCTGGGGAAGTGGGGTGAGACGAGGCTTCTTGGCCCTGACCGTCCTCAGATCTGCGATTTAAGTTGAAGACAGGATAGGATTTAAGACAGGATAGGATTTAAGCCAGGATAGGTACTTCGTATTTTATGCTGAAATGAGAATGAAAACCGAGGAACGTCGCCTGCCGGTATTCAAATTGTTGAAATGTTTGGCGTGGCGACCAGGTCGATACCTCGTGATGTTTTATTATTGATTGAGGGTAATCGGTAATCGATAATCGGGAATCTTTCGAGTCGAACCGATCCGGCGCGCTCTGAAGCGCTTTCCTCGAATCGGCCGAATGGTCACCGTGTCAAGAGGTTCAGTACGGACGAGTCGTCGGTTCAATTACGCGGAATCCAAGAAAGTTCCCAAGTCACGTTCCGCGAGGAACGTAAACTAATTACGCGGGAAAGGGGAGGAGAGGGAAAAAGTCGTTCATATTTCAAAACCTCGAGCCTCGTCCCAGAGCGCATGATTGGGAGGACGAACTCTTAGAGAGGGACTGGCGATGCCTCTCGGGATGCAGTGAAGGGCGCGAGCGGGGAAGACGCTGTCGCAGTTCGCACTCATGCCGACGGCACCTCCCATACTGAGGAGGGGGACGACATGCAACATCCTCGCCGGTGTGTGCATCTCAGGCATCGGCTTCGTCGCCACCGGAAGTAACTTCTTCGTGCTGCTCACGGTTCTCAGCGACCGGAGCCTCAAAGCCCAACCTTCGAACCTGCTCGTGCTCAACCTGGCAGCAACGGACCTGGTCACGGCGCTGGTGGTCATGCTGCCGTCGGCCGCAGCCTCGCTTTACGACGACTGGCCCCTGCCCTTCTGGCTCTGTCTCGTCCACAGCTGCTTCAATTATTGTTTCATCACCGTGTCGATGTTGTCTCTCGCGGCCATATCCTTCGACAGGGTCCTCGCGATCAAGGATCCGTTTCATTATCCTTCCCGAGTGACCATGGGAAGGATGAAATGGATCGTCGCCGGTATCTGGTTGCTGGGCCTGGGCTTCGGCATCTTCCCCGTCGCCTGCGGCTGGATCCACTACGACTACTGGGAGCTGGTCTGCGCCATCGACTGGCTCACCTTCCATTCCGCCTACGTGTACGTGATGACGGCGTTCATCGTCACCTTCTCCATCCCCATGGTCTTCGTCTGGGCCTCGAACGCCGTGATCGCCTGGTCCGCCATCCGCCTCTGCCGCAGCACCCTGAGCGACGGGACCTCCGCCGAGCCGAGGAACTGGACGGACGCCAGCGTGGGGACGACTCTGGCCGTCGAGATGAGGAACTTGGACGGGAAGGCGATGGAAAGTGTGCAGTCCCGCGTCGCGACTTCTTCCAAGTCCTTAGGTGACTTGGCCTTTCTTTCGTGTCCTTTATTTTCTGTGCATTACTTTCTGTCCTTTATTTTCTGTCCTTTATTTTCTGTCCTTTATTTTCTGTCCTTTATTTTCTGTCCTTTATTTTCTGTAATTCGTTCCCCTTTCTAGTCGAGGTCATTGTCCCCCGTCTATTTTCCATCAATCGTATCCGGTTCCATTACCGGCTTCGCGGTCGGGATCGATCCCTCATTACCGGTCACGGAATCGCAGGACTCCCGCGGGAACCGCCGAAAGTATCCTCATCTCCCTGATGGGAATCGGAAGTAGAATTTAAAAGAATCCATTCGCGAGTCGACCGCAGCTAGAAATTGCCGAAAATTGATTTTTGTCTGAGGAAAATCTTCCGTGATTAATTTTTAATTTTTTGCCTG